AAAAAAAAAAAGTTGAGTGACTCTTGGTGATAGAGAGCTTCACAGTATGTGTTTTTAGAGCAGCTGGTTAGTAGACTTGGGCAACGTTTCTGTTAGTATTGAGATTTTAAAAATCTACAAATAACACTCCAAAAGCACAAACCAATCGTATCCTCTCTGCGCGATGTAACAGGCAGGTATACAGTCCGCCGACGGGACTAGAAATCGCATCCACTCTTCGGAAAGCGATGTAACCACAGCTATCAAGAGCCTTAGAGAGACTGTTATTTTTATGCCAGTAATTCCATTGGTGAGGCTCTTTTTCTAAGAAAACCTAAAATCCGGCCCAAGTTCCATGTACAATGCCGTTCAGCATGCCATCAGTGACACCGTCCAAACCCTGGAGACAAGCTACGTGCCCGTCTAAGCGGGAGCCGACAGGCTCGCCTCGGCCCTGTACCCAGCTGCAGGGATATTCCAGACAGCCTGGGAGTATTTGCACAGAGTGTGGAACAAGATTACGCCCTGAGTGTGCCTCGGTGTCACATAAAAGTCTCCAGTGAAAACTGGACTCATGACATACGTACACGTAGGGGTGTGTGTGTAAAAGGGATTTGAAGAGATAGGACAAAATAGCAATAGGGGTTGTGTGTAAGCAATGAGGCTATGGTTACTTTTCTTCATATTAAAAAAATGAGCATGAAAATATTCACATTATTATTACTATTATTATTTTACAGATTTCAGAGAGAGGAAGGGAGAGGGAAAGAGGGATAGAAAGATCAATGATGAGAGAGTCATTGGTCGATGCCTCCTGCAGGGCCCCTGCTGGGGAATTGAACCCTGACCTCCCGGTTCATGGGTTGACACTCAACCACTGAGCCACATCGGCTGGGCACGGTATTCTTTTTGGATGAGGCCATTTATCTTCCCATGCATCTCCTCATCTTTCTTTCCTTAACAGTGGTAGAGTTCCTGACCACCCTTCATTATAAAAACCTAAGTTATCAGACGTGCATCTTGGGCCCCATTCTATTCTTAAAGAAGCAGAGGACTTACAAGAGGTGCAGTGTTTGCTGCAGTGTTTACGTAACTGAGAATAATTTTCTTTCTTTTATTAATCCTTCCCCGAGGATATTTTTTCCATTGCCTTTCAGAGGGAGAGAGAGAAACCTCCATGTGAGAAAGACACATCGATTGGTTGCCTCCCACATGCTCCCTGGCCGGGGTGGGGATCGAGCCTGCAACTGAGGCACGTGCCCTTGGCCCGAATCGAACCCGGGACCCTTCAGTCCGCAGGCCGATGCTCTAACCACTGAGACACACAGGCTAGGGCTGAATAATGTCCTAAAGTCCATTTCATGCAGCTGGGGAGGAGCTCAGGTATCATTTAGATAAGAGCTTCTTAACCTGGGGGCTGGAAGAGGCCCTTGATGGCTTCGTGGGGTCCATGAATCTTCTGAAATGAAAAGCTAAATTTTTTTCCTCCATACACATGTGCATTTTTTTTCCTGGGGGTTTAGGACGGTTTATTATACCTTTCATCAAATTTTCAAAAGGGTCTGAGGTCCATGAAAAGTTTAAGCCAGTGATCTGCCGATGAGGTGCAGAGAGGTGGTGCCACTGACCCAGATTCCCAGTTACCTTGTGGCTGAGCTCACCTGGAACCCAGGTCTCGGGACTCACATTTACTTCACAGGCAGGAAACCCTTAGCAACAAACAGCCCAGAGAGGCACCGTAAGTCGTGTCTGAAGCTGGCCTACAGACCAGCTCTTTCACTTCAGAGCCACGGCGGCCCCTAGGGCTCCGGAAGGGGCACACGCATCTGGTCGTGGACAGCAAAGGAAGGCAGATCCACTGGCGAAGCGAAAAGGGCCGTGGGTCCATGCTAACGAGTGGCTTGAAAGCCTCCCCACCCAGTCTTCCCCCGACTTTGAACCTGGCAGTTCAGTCTCCATCGGAGGCAGCGTGGCTCTCGGGCTTGTCAAAGGAGAGGGGCGCCGAGCCCAGCACGCTGAGAAGCCGGCCGTCTGGGGGAGCAGATGTTTTATCTAATTGAGACCCAGTCAACTTTTAGCTCGAGGGCTCTGCATTTAAGTTTAATGAGAGTAGGAGAGCGGAGGGAAACTCTAGTTTCTCTACTTTAACTTCTTGTGTTGATTTTAGAAGATAAACATATTCAAATGAAATAGTAATGCCTTCCGCATGTCCCCCCTCCCCCCCCATTCCTTTCCTTTCCCGTTTCCATTTAAGCTCAGAGGTGTCTGCATTCCCCGGTGCGGAATCCCGGGTGGGGGACACGCTTGGACGTGGGGCTCGCAGGGGCTCTGCCAGCTGGGGGAGCGTAGCCCGTCATTTCTGGTCTCCAAGATTCTNTCTGGCGAGTCTCTCCACCTCTCTGAGGCTTCTTTTCTCTTAGGGTTTTGCAAGAATTAAATGGGACCATGAGTCTCTACTTTGTTTGAAAACTATAAGGTGCTATGTGAGTTTGAGTTGGGGAGGGTAGCCCGTCATTTCTGGTCTCCAAGATTCTGGCCACACACACACAAGCGTCACATTTGTCCTATGAGATCAGCTTTTGTGATGAAGAGATGGCCTTGATGCTGGCCCCAAACAATGGGGAAACATCTGGGCAGAAGGTAAGGAGGGAGAATGTGCTTTTCCGCTACGCCCTGTCGCTCTTCGGATGATGCCAACTTCTAGCAAAATACCGACCAAAGTTGCAAGGAGAGCGAACAGACCCGCACAGTCCCTGCCCCAAGGCTGACCCGCTCCTATCATTTGTTAGTGACTGGGGCCTACTGTCCTTTCAGGCTGACCAGCGAGTTATGGCCTGTAGGTCACTGTGAGTGCCATCCACTACTTGGGACACATAAATCCGACTCTCAGGAAGACAGGGGTGGGTACCACCCCCAACTTTCTCCTTCCTGGTGGCACCTGGAAGTTTGTGCCCCAGAAGAGGGAAGCTGGCCAAGTCCTGAGTGGAACAGGGTGGCCTGTCCTAGGCAGCTCTGTGTCCTTGACACGACTGTCCTACGGATTAGAGGTAATGCGCATCTTTCTGGAGTCACCAGCTGGAACTGTGACTTGACTTTAACATTTGCATGATGCCATTAAAGAAAGAAGAAAGAAAAGAAAGGAAGGAACGTCAGCCCCTGCAGCCGAGGTAATAGCACCGGCCCGTGACAAGACAGGAAGCCAGTCCCCTAGGGGGCCAGTGGGAGTAAAGGGAGGACACTCATGTTGTTGGACAGGCACCTTCCACCAGTCACGGTGGACTCACCACCATCTTCCTAAGGGCCTTCCCCTCTGGGGGCTTAAGGAAGTAAACGTCCAAGGGGGCTCTCAGATGTCTCCGTCTTATGTGACACTCATGCCATTTATTGAACCTCTACTGCTCACCTGGTCATTTACACACCCACTCTGACTGACTTTGACTTTGTCACAACTTTGCAAAGTTGGGTGCGCCCACCCCTCTTTCATGGCCGGGGGTGGGGGTGGGCACGGGTGGAGTGAGGGGGGAGATCTGCCCAAGTTCACAGAAGCAGTGGGCAGCAGAGCAGCTTCAGACCCAGGCCTGTGTGGCTCTGTATCTTGTATTTCTCCTACTTTGCAGTCCTGTCCTTCTTGTGAGGAACACGTGGCAGGGGAGAACCCACGCTCCAACATTCTGTAATGCGGGAGCCTGGAAGCCGGGGTGGAGACTTGGAGGCTTCCGGGGAACTAGGCGTGTTCCTGTCACTGTCCCCGTAAACACTGACTATGGTGGCAATAGGATCTTGGTTTAAAATCTGGATCTTAACTTGTTTTGCTTTAGCTTTCCCACCTTTAAAATGGGGACAACACCACATATTGCGCATGGCTGTTATGCTGAAGTGTAGGAGAGTATTTAAAGCCAAGAGCATCTGGCCCATTGCAGGCCCTTCACGCACACAAATTCCCCTTCTCTGTATCCTGGGACAAAGTCGCCACTTACCTCAGTTAAGTTCTTTAAGCTTATCTGTCTGCAGGGAAAAGAAATACAGTGTTACACAAAATACAGTTCATAATGATCAGAATAAAACCATTCTGAGCCCTTAAGAACCTTTGATTACATTTTTATTGTCAAATCAGTGGCCCGTAGTCCAGTGTGATATTTATCACCTTCTATAAAACTAAAGCCAGGTTATTTTTCTCATAATTTTCTAAGCAAAAGAAGAAGTGATGAGCCAATAAAAACGATGGTAGCAGAAAGGACATGAATAGACTTGCCTCTAGTTTCAGGAGAATTTAAATAACACCACTGTTCCTCCTGACACTTGGTTTTCCGTGGCACGTTTCATCACCACAGCCAGACCTGCCAGTATTCCCTTGGTTCTTAGTTTTCTGCTCTGAGGGAGCGTAAAGGGTTTTAAATAGGAAATTGTCAAGTACAGCGGGATCCCAGGAAGGTACGTGTGGGAGAAAGATGCCAATGATGTATGGAGACCCGAGACGGAAAACTCCAAAGCTGAGCTATAGGGGAAGGATTCAGTCTGAGATATGCTGATGTGGACATTGGACAAGTCTCAAGAGAAGCTCCAGCCATTCATTTATATTCACAGTTAAGTCAATGAACATCTCTAATCCTCATTTTTCTTACCTGCAAGGTGTCTATAAGTGTATTCATCTTTATTATTATTTTAAAAATGTTTTTATTGATTTTAGAGAGAGAAGAAGGGAGAGGGAGAGGCAGAGAGAGAGAGAAACATCAATGATGAGTCATTATCGGCTGCCTGCTGCACGTCCCCTACTGGGGACAGAGCCCGAAACCCCGGCATGTGCCCTGATGGGGAATTGAACCAGTGACCTCTTGGTTCATGGGTCTGGGTCAATGCTCAACCATTGAGCCACACTGCCCGGGCAAGTGTATTCCTCTTCAGAGGGTTATTGTGAGCATTGGTGGAGATAAAAATGAAAACGTTGGGTGGTCAGTGGGCTCGGAGTTAGAATGTGCTCGAAGTCAGATAAGGAGACTGTGAGGATGGAGCCGTGCACATTCCATCTAGAAGGGCCTGCTGGCGAGCAGACGGGGCTGGGGAAAGAGCAGAGGTTAGGGCTGCCCAGGACCTCAGCCGGAGGCCGTGCACCTGGAGTCATCAGGCTGTATGCATCAGATTAGATCATCCCAGAGGCATCCGGGCTAATGCCACGTCCTGGCCTCAGATGTCTAAGCAACAGGCACCCGGACGGCGGTTCCGCGTTCCTTAACCCGGTTCGTGGGCTCCTCTGAGATGGGACACTGACCCCCGCCTCTCCCTTTTACTGGGGCAAGTGAGAAGATAAATGTGACTAGAAGTAATAAAGTAGAAAGAACACCCATAATGTTAATTACTTTTGGGTTAAATTGAGGCTAATCTTTCATGCTTAAGAGACTCTGGCGTTTCAAATACTGACAGATTGGCCACATGGCTTTGATTTAAAATGTGTAATTGACTTTAGTCTTGTGATTTTAAGTTTCAAGAGTCAACCTGTGGTGGGCAGCTAGACAGGAGCAGAGCAAGGACAATGGGCCAGGGACAGGGGGTCACCAGGGTGGAAAGCCCCAGGTGCCTAGCAAAGGGCAATTGTAGAGTGGGACCTCGCTCCAGGGTGACCTTTCCACCCCTAGCATATCATGGGCGGTTTGGGCCCCCTGACCTTTCCTCCCTGGAGATAACATCTAGGCCTCAGTTGTATTTCAGCCCCAGGCCTAGATAAGCAGCTAAACCAGTCACAGCTGCCCTCAGGCCCAGCTGCCTTGGATAATGACCCCCTGCCCTGGCGCCAGCCAGTCAGTCAGTGGGGACCCAGACTCTGAAAGGACACACCTGGCAAGCTGCTGAATATTCTACCAAGATCTTCCCCTGGGACCTCCCCTAAAATCTCTTCCCTTAAAACCATTACAAAGGAGAACCCTTGGGCTCCTCCTCCTGGGAGCATTCCCGGAGCCTGGCCCCAGCCCCGCATGCCTTAGCATTACCATCAGCTTCCTCACTCCCAAGCTCCAAGGGCCCTTTGCCTCTATAACTTGTTTCCTAAGCCCATTTCTTCTAGGAATTACTTTTTATGCCCCTGTGATTAACAAAATAAATGTTCTCTTACAGTTAGGGCCTTGGCTCTGAATTCTTTCCTAGACAGAATCCAAGTACCGAGGTTGCCGAACCCGAGTCTGGTCTGACCCCACCAGACTACCACCCGGTGCCGTTCCTACAATAAACCGATGTTTGACTTCGTTTGTAAAGAGTTTGAACAGTTTATGAGAACTTAAATTTTTCCATAGTCATACATTTACTTTAATAGATTTACAGAAGTTCATTGTTAGAGAAAGTTTTGCTTGTTAGCCTAAGAACTACTTAAAAATCAAGTGAGTGAAACATATTAAATATTTCAAATGTTTAAGGAGATTTTACTCTATTTGTAAATGAGCCTTATTGTCTAAGATCCCTTAACCTCTCTAAGGTGACAAGCAGAGCGATTGTCTTTCTGCTTGGGTAAAATTACTAGATTTAAAAACAACAGTGTACTTAACAGAAGCAACTGGAGGCTTCAGGAAAGCAAGGCTTCAGAACTGACAACTTTAAATATTGGATTTTTAAGTGAGAACCCAAGTAATTGTGAGAAATCCCTCCGTACACAGCAACCGTCACTGGACACTGAAATGCCGAGTTGACAGACCCCACACGTTAGCTGCTCCCCTCACCTATAAAATGAAGGCAACTGGCTTTGGGTGGAGGGGGGGTCCTTCTCTTAAAGGAGATGTTTGAAGACAGAGGGACCTGCACAAAGTCACGAAAGGGCAGTCAAGGTGGGCACTCTGGTCTCCTCCCCACAGCACCACAGTGCCGCTCAGAGAGCATCTCTGAACTGTGCTTGCCCACCTTTCGTGCCTGGAGATGGCTAATGCAACGTGGTCAGTGGCTACCTAGAGTCAGTATTGCCACATTCTTTCCTGCACATAGTAGGTGCTCAGTGTGTGTTTGAGGATAATACCTTTTTTTTTTGTTAATCCTCACTGAAGGATACTTTTTCCATTGATTTTTAGAGAGAGTGGAAGGGAGAGAGAAACATCGATGTGAGAGAAATATCAAGACACATCTGAGAGAAACATTAAGACACGTGGATTGGTTGCCTCTCAAACACGGCCTGACCAGGGCCCGGAATAGAACCTGCAGCCCAGGTATGCGCCCTTGACCTGGAAGCCAACCCGTGACCCTTTGGTGCATGGGCTGATGTTCTAACCACTGAGCACACCGGCCAGGGCAGGATTATACCTTTTACTCTAAAAATAGCCCTTCTTGAGCCTCCCTTAGTTTTCAGTTCAGGTTCAAATGAATTGGATCCGAACCCTTGCTCTGTCACCCATGAGCTCCATCGCTCTGGACAAGGGAAATTTCCTCTCCGAAGCTTGGTTTCCCCACCTGTAAAGTGGGTAAATCCAAATGGCAACAAAGAGGGTTGATTAAGGTTCTCATGAAATAACACATGTGGAAGCTATTTGGGATAAAATAACACCTTATATCTGCAGAAGGCCTTTAACGCTTTCTTTTAAATGAGACCGTTTTATTCTGAGATAAGTGCAGGTCTCAGGCAGGTGTAAGAAATGACAGATCATCGAGATCCTGCGTGCCCTTCTTTCAGTTTCCCTGATGGCGACATGGTGCACAACTGTCGTGATGGTCAAGCTCACACTCTAACATCAGCAGTGTCCACTCATAAACGGGAATTTGGTCTTCTTCATAACCCACACACTCTCTTGTTTAAAGGGTCATGGTTTCCCAATAGCTATATTCTTTTTTCACTTCTCAAATCATCCAAACATACTTTTTTTTTTGCCACTGACATTGCTTGAACGGATGCGTTCCAGCACTGCTGATTGAAAAGGGAAAATTGTGGTTGAGCAAACGGGTGTTTTGCTCCTTCAAATCAGGCTCTTTGTTAAATTATACTTCGGCTGAAGCCTGCATGTGGGCCACTGAGTTTGCTGAAGCAGAGGAAGCACCTGGCTCGGCGACCTCTCTGCGTCTTTGTGTCCTTAGTAACCCGAAGAAGATCCTGATGTTGCTTCCTGCACAGAGTCCCTGTGGGGCGGAGTTAATGCACCCCGAGGACTCCAAAGCCAGCCCTGAGCATGTGCGTGTGCGTGTGCATGTGAGTGTGTGTGTGTGTGTGTGTGTGTGTGTAGCTAGCGCTCAGCAAGCGCCCGTTACTCCTTGATTACCCAGGATGGTTTTATCTGGTGCATGTGCCATGGTGTTGACATTACAATGGATACAGCTAGACAACCATTGCCTTTAAATCTCTTTCTAATTATGTCCAGAGGAGCCTCAGTGTCTCAGCCCCAGCCCCACCCTGACGGCTACTTGCCTTTGAAGGGAGAAAACTCCAGGCTCAAAGTTTTGGTCTGCAACTGTCTGTGTTGCAATTACTTACGGTGATATATTTCCCCTTTATGCCAATTTACTTTAGTAAAATAAATAAATAAATACACATATATATATATAAGTAAAATGAGGCCCTGGCCAGGTAGCTCAGTTGGAGCATCGCCCCTGATACACCAGGGTTGTGGGTTCGATCTCCAGTCAGCGCACACACAAGAAGCACCCAGTGATGCATGACTACGTGGAACAACACATCGATCTCCCGCTCTCTTTCTAAAATCAATGAATTAAAAAAAAAGATGAGCAAAAAACATTAAGTTCATGGAAATTGTAAACATCATGATAATGGTTTGTAATGGGCCGAGAATGTTTAACCAACCGCCCCAACTTCAAAGCCCTCTTCCAGTTTTAAGTCGCTAATGAATGATTTAAATGGCCCGTCCCTAATCTGAATGGCTGCCATAGGGATTGTTCTGTGAGGAGCCGCAGCCCAGCTTTAGAGGAGACAAGGGCGGGGCTGGTGGAGCCAAACGGCTGCGACACAATGGCTGGACCCTCCGCCACGGTCCCGGGAGCAGAGCCTTTGTGAAGGCTGCAGCTGCTGCGCCCCCATTCACCCGGGGTTGCCAGATGTAAATCTCAGCCTGGGCGGGGGTTCGCCCCCCAGGGCCCTGGCGGAGGTGATCACAGCCTCCTGGGGGTGGGCTGGGGATTCACCCCCGGCCCCCCC